GAAAACAAAATTTCCAACTTAAAAATAATCTGACCCACAATATTAAAAATATAGTATTTCAAATATGTTCAAATTCATTTACTCAGCTGTTAAGTAAATCAGGGTATGAACTGTTTACATTATACCAAATACAAACAACAATTAAATTTATGAAGCTACACCCAAACAAATCTGTTTATAATCCACTATTAAACTTACTCTGCCAGAAATTGATTTTGCATAAATTTATATAACTTTAACGAACTTACATAAACATGTATAATGGAAAGAGCAACGACGAAAAAAAGTGAAGCCACCTAAAGTCTAGCCCTGGCTAATCTAGCAGCTAACTATGTGACCTTAGGACCTAGACAAACCATTTTTCCTCCCTGGAAAAAAAAAGGTACAACTGTTTACTCATCCCACTGGATCATTTATTGTAACAATCAAATGAGACTGTATATAAATACATTCTGAAATATTGTAAAGCACTTTATAAATCAAAGACATTATTATTAAGACAGGAAAACTTGAGACACTATTGTTAGGTGCCTGCTATAAAATAGAGTATTACCGAGACAACGAAGAACATAAAAACGGATCCTTCAGAGTCAATAGATATAGAACAGTATTGTGTATATTCTATAAATTAAAATGTAAAACATAAGAATTCAATTTAGTTAGCTGTCCTATGTCCCCATTTATAACATCTATTTCTTCTGTAAAGATATGATATTAGATAGGTCGTGAGTTGATAATTGTCACAACTGGACAGTAAGCATATTATTCTCTATACTTTCATATATGTGACAATATCCATAATAAATTTTAACAAGTCAACAATGTATATGTTTGTATATAAAACATCCATAAAAGCTAAAAAATAAATCTATTTTTTTAAAATTATTCCAATTATTGTATCATTTTCCTCTAACGTTATCTCAGATCCCATATATTCCAAAATAAGCTGCTCTCAGTACCCCTCTATATATGACACCTACTAGCATACAATTACTCCCTTTCAAATAGGTGAGTAAATACTCTTACCCAAACTGCAAAAAGACAATTACTAAGTATATGCTTCCTGATCTTTGTTCCTTTGCTTTTTTTGCTCATTCATTACAACAGAATTAAAAGGCGAAAAGGACAAATTTTAACTATATGTATGTGTAAAAACATAAGGGGAAAAAAAGGCAAATATTTTTTTGTCAGTACTGAAAGACAAGAGAGATAGTTGTAATTACCCATTTCTCTTAAAACCTGTTGACCTATACAACTCAATTCACAATATACCAGGGCTGTTTCATCCATAATGTAGTTACATGTCTGTCAGACAAAGGAAATTAGTAAATTCAACCACCAAATCAAGGATTCTATCAAAGTATGTATAACAATGTATAATTACTCAGCATACATCAACCTAATTGCTGAAATAATGTCTTTTAACCTGGGACCATATTTCACAGAGTGAAAAAGCATAAACCACCTTTCATCTCAAGCAGACTTTGTTTAATTTTAACTTAATAAAATATATCTATAGCTCAATAGCTTATGCTTTATAGTAGTTTATGAAGAAATCTTAAGTGCTGAAACTTAAATGCAGATAGAAGGGCAATAATATCTTGTGGTTTATACTTAAAACTATATTTGGTAATATTCACACATTTATTCATTACTCAAAAGCTAAATCTTTGTTTTTTCATGTTACATCTGCAGTCACAATAAAAAAATATCTGTGCCTAAAGAGAGTACACCGTAAATTTTTTTACTTGGGAGGGAGGAAGAAAGGAGGGAACAAGTGGGCAGGGAAGAAAACCTCACCAATTCAACTCTCACTATATAGCATTTGTTTTCTAAGCATTAAAAACTCCATTTATTTTTATGAGATACATTTGAGAGGAGCCATACAGAGAAACCACCTTTTCCAACGTGGTCTTTAACAACTTTGAATGTTAAGTCCTGCTTGAAGTCCTCATATGTATTATTTAAAAACAAGTAATTGTAAAACTCTCAGTAAAACTTTAAAAGGCAAGCTGTTGAAAGACGGATAACAAACAAAGAGAACTACTATACCTTATTCAAGCAAGGTTAATAATTTTACAGATTTTGCATGCTTACTTTTACTTCAGAATCTGTTAATAGCTTCCAAGCTAAAAAAAAGTTGTAAGACCACTATCATACGGGTAGGTGCCCTTATTTGGTGGCAATGGCTAGTTTTAAATATCTATTTACAACACAGTTATTACTTTATTTCTTTTTCCTAAGTATCCACATATCACTACCCCTATTATTTATCATCAGTACAAATCAAAACTAGTTTCTCACCTCATCCCAGAATCTTACATTAAACTTCAAGCTTCAATTTAAAAACCATGATTTCCCACATAATTGTAGAAATCCCTCCCTAAAAGAGTGAAGAATTACAGAATACAGAAAAATGAAGACAATTTCACCTTAAACATCTAAATGAGGATGTCAGCAATGACAACTGCAATAAAAACCAAGAAGGCGTACTCTGGTTTTTCACAATTTTAATATAACAAAATCATGAAATTTGAAATTAAAGGTGGCGCTCTGTCCTCGACTCACCCGATTGTGACTCACTTTTGCAGACTATATGGTAGGCAATAACAGTTACTTTTCAAAGATCTTTGCAGTTACACCCAAGCCAAAATCAGGACAGAGATCCACCCTTAATTACAGCAATTTAACTGTCTCATCCAAAGCAAGGTGGAAACTAAAACGTCCCCCTTAAGTCATGGCTAAATAAACCCATTTCATATAATAGTTTTCAAAGGCCCCCTTTAAGGAAAATATTTCTATTTACTTCTAATTTGAGCTCACCAGGACAAAAATGAAAAAAAGAGGGGGAGGGGGACCCAAAGGAAACGCACAAGTACAAAAAGAGATTCTCCTCCAATCCCTCTAATTCCCCCAATCCGCCTCTGCCACACACAAGGACAGGGAGTCTGAGGAAGGCTGGCAGCAGGGTAAGCAGTGAAGGCCCTCCATTCACTCACGTGGGCCACCATCCAAAGGGTTACACACCCTCTGCCTGCGGAGAGCCTCATACATAGCAGATCCTTACAAGTACATCTTATTATAAAATACGCCCACACTAAACAAGAGCTTTACGTTAAAATAAGGCTGTCCTCAGGTGGGGGAGGTTAAACACAACAAAGGCTTCCATGTTGAAAGGCAGACAGTCCAGATACAAGCATATACCTACACACGTATGAAAAAAAATCCATATAACTAATTTATCATGAACAACAATCGATACCAACAGGAGCCATTAGATTAATAAACCCAGAAAAGTAGCATGCATAGCTGCTGTCTGCTGCGATCTAACCCCAGGGAAAGGTAAAAAAAAAAACACGCCTGCGGAGAAGGGTCAAGTCCGCCGCAGATTTAAAGACTCCTTCAGCCCACCCTTAGCACTCCCTGCCCTGCCCTCGGCGCCAAGACCACTGCACCGCACAGGATGCGAGCACTCCCAGCGCTGCAAGTCCCGCAGAAAACTGGTGAATGAAAAGAAAAGCACAGAGACCAACCTGGCTAGTGACCGCGGCGCAGAACCAGGGGTCGCTAACTAGCTTGGCCACAGTATTTATTCTCCTGCAGGATGGAATAAAAGGAGCACACCACCTACCCCGCAACTGGAATGCGGTTCTTTCTCACTGACTCTTTCCAAAAAGGGGTTGGAAGACGCAGGGTATTTTTTTTTTTTAACTAAGTCCAAAAACGCGAATCGGAAGCAACCGGGAACATCCTGGGGGGCCAGACAGGAGACGCCGGGAGAAAGGCGAGACGGCTCTCCAACTCCTAGGGAATCACCATCCGGTGTGGCACGCATCAATCAACCAGCCCCGGACCGGGGCACACGGGGAGGGAGTTGGGGGTCCCAGCTGTCCGCCCGCGGAGCGCCTGTGGGGCTGAACCCGGGGATTAAAGGGGTGACCCTCCCAGGGCGTGCAGAAAGAGTGCCGGGTACCGCTGCCCTCAAGGTCACCACGCGCCGGGGCGGGGGCGGTCGGCGAAGGGATGAGCTATGGCGTGGCCGGGGCGGCTTGGAGAAGAGCTGCGGGTGTAGACACGAAGCCCCACCAAGCCCCGTCCCTCGGGCCCGGGGCGGGGACTCCCGGCCAGACCCGGCGCTGAGGTGCACGCCCAGAAACCCGCTCACCTTTACGATCTCCCGGTGCGGGCGCGGTAGGAGACAACCAGCGAGGGGGCTGACGAACGCCCCACCAACTTCTCCCAAACCCGCCGCAGTCCGCGGGACACCCAGTGCTGTCAGGACCCCGCCGCGACGCCCTGACCCCTGTATTCCGCCCGGCCTCCCCCGCAGGTGATCTGACCCATCGCCGCTGCTGCGGGCGGAGGGCGCCCGCCACTCACCTCGCCCGGCAGCAGGAACCATTTTCCGAGGGAGCAAAGGAAAGGGAGGCTGCAGGAGGGTCGGGGACGGGGGCTGGGGAGGTGAGGGGCAGCGGGAAGCGCAGAGAATGGGGGCTCGGTCCTCGGCGTGTCTGCGGGCGGCTGGCAGGGCTCGGGACGCCACGCGGAGGTGCGCTTGCACCTCGAGGATGAGGCGGCCGCGGAGCCGAAAGGCTCGGCGTCCACCAGCCGGGGCTCCCTACTCACGCTGCACTGCGAGGAGGCGGCGAAGGAGGAGGCGGCACCCGGCCCGGCCCCCGCCCAGAGCCCGGCAGCCGCCGAGTGGCCGCCCGCGTCCCGCAAGACCCGCCTCCTCGGCTCCGCAAAGCCGCACACAGGGCGCGCCGCGCTCAGCACGGGCAGCTCCGCCAGCCTCACGCCGCCATCCGCAACGGCAGCGGCGGGAGGGTGCAGCCCCCTCGGTGACCACCGCAGCCCGGCCCGTTTCGGGGAGGGCCCGCGGCCACCGGAGAGCGGACGGCCGAACACGAGGGGGCTGCGCGCAGCTTCGGGCAGGAGCCCCGTTTGCCCCGGGGGGCCCGCAGGATTGCCGGGGAAAGCAGGGGGAAGAGAATTCTCACCCGTTCCGGTCTGGCGCTCCCTTCTCTCCACACCCACACGCCTCCCGCTCCACGCTGGCGGCGCAGCTGCTCCCGCTGCCTCTGCCGCCGCCGCCGCCGCCGAAGCTCGCGCCGCCGCCGCTGCCGCCTTGGCTGGGCGCGGTCACGTGACGCGGCCCGCGGGGAGCCTGGGGGCGGGCGGGCGCGGAGGAAGCGCGGCTCCGACGGGGACTGGGAGCTAAGCGGCGCGGATAGGGCGTTTAAGGGGAGGACCCGGCGAGCGCGCCCCCGGCTGGCGAGCACGCGCCCGGCGATTAGAACTTGCTGAGCGGTGGGGAAAGGGTGGCGGGAGTGAGGGGCGGGGTACTCACGCCTCCGCGCGCCCCTCCCTCTCTTCCTACCCTGAGCGCCGCGGCTCGCCGCTGCCCCCGCCCCCTCCCGCTACCTCCTTTCCTCCTGCCGCTGCCTGCGATTGGCTGAGAGGCTCTGACGTCTGTGTTTCCATGACGTATCGAGGCGGGGGCGGGGGGTTGGCGGGGGAGGAGGGGGTGGCTCAGGCGCGCGGGGCGGTGACTCCGTCAGTCACAGCTGCTGTTTCGCCGCGAGGCCTGGCTGCTCCCGGGTTTGTGGAGGCTAGAGCGTGATGACTTGCCGCAGGAGGACGCGGGCTCCTCTCACCTGGGGCCCCGCCCGAGCCACCCCTCGGCCTGCGCCCCTCCAGAGCGGGCGTAGGAGGGCGAGCGCTCCCGGCGACGGCAGGTTAAGGCTGACCACTCGTCGGCGGACATTTGAGCGGCTTCACGCCGCGTTTCTGCTCCACTCCCTACCGGACTCTTTGCCTGTCCGGGCTGTGACGCACGCGCCGGACGACCAAAGTGACTCCCAGCTCGCTCCCTCCTTGGGGAGAAGAGCCCACTCCTACGGACGCGGGGCGCCCCCTTTCCGTCGGTAGGGTCGGGCCCGCAGGCACCCGGGATCCCGCTGCCACGCTCAAAGGGTTAACTCAGGCGTTTCGCTAGTGCAAACAGGCTCTTCAGGACCCGCGCTTAAAATCCTCGTTTGGGGTTTGCTTTTTCTACCAATGCCAAGCTTTTGACTCTTAGTTCACTTGTAACATCTCTACCCATCACCCTTCTTTCGTGTAGGGAAAAGACAATTTAAAAACACGGGGTAACGTGCGGAATTTAGATGATAAAAGGTAACCTGCTTCGCCCCAACCTTCAAGTGATTTTGTAAGTTAATTTAAAAGAACCACCCGTCGTGACATACACTTTAAAAATAAAACGGGGTTGGCTTCCTACATACACATACTGATGGAAAGATTAGTTTCTTACCTAAGACAACGTGCTCCATCTTTGTCTAATCACCTATTTGAACAACCCAAAGCCGTTCATTCAAAGACGTTGTCGGTGTTATTTTCAATACCACTTAATCAGAACAAAAAGATAAATTTTGCAGTCTCTTCCTTTCTCTTAACAGGACTGGAAAAAATATTTGTAACGTTTTCTTAAAATCATACAAGTGATGCAAAGGACTTTATCATGTATGTTCACTCTCCGGTAGCATTTATTTTAAAATATTTTTAAAGGCATAGAAACAAAATATGTACAAGAAGTTTGAAAAGCAAAAAAACTCAAGTTAATCCTGTTGAAAATAACTTTTTTATGAATTCATGTATCTTACCAGGACACACATTTACCAACCTTTTGGACTGTGCCCTTGACATGCAGTTAACACTGAGCAGAATGACACTGTTTTTCCTCTCGTTAATCACTGTTAAGGAATTGGTTGGTGTGGTACAATAGCCCTTCCTGACACTATTTCAAAACTTAGCACAAGAACAGATTAGCTTTTCAAAACGGCTTAGAGACATTTAAGAATCACTGGCTTTTGTCCAACTTTTCCTCCAAGGAAGTCGCAATAGCAAATTGAATTATGTATTCTACTTTAATCAAGAATTTGACATTAAAGTAATATATGAATCATTGCTATAGTACACTAGCACAATGCATAACAGATAAGAATCTGTTCACTTTCGTGGGTTTGTTGCAGTTCCAAATAAAATATATACTCTTATTAAAGTGTCAATAAAATTACTCAGCATCTTCAGATTAGCACATGATTTCAATAGTTTTCATTTATGGAGACTATATAGATATATATCGCAGAACACAGTTATATGCATTTTAAAGAAATGTGAGTCACAATGATATACTTTTACTGTCATAGTCAAGATGATAGCACTGTGTAGTTTGGTTTTTATGTTTTCATTCCTTAAATAGCAAATAAAGGCTGAAAGCAATATAGAAATAACTGCACAAATTACATTTTTTTTCTCCCAAAGGTTTAGTATTGACGCCTTCTTAATGGTGTATATCTCTCAATGTAAAAATCAAGAAAATTTGATTGCTTAATTAGCATTTCCTAAAAAAATGGAACCACTTGAATTCAAAAATGCTACTGGATGTGATATAATGATACCCTCTTAATCTTAGACCTCCTTATCCCATATATTTAATTGACCCAAAGACATATCAGTGCATAATAATAACAATATAATAACGCAATTTATTGTCAAAAGACAATCTTGAAAAGTTCTTTCAAAACTTTGAATATTTACAAGAAAAAATTTATGAAAGTATTTAAATCCTATGGCAAGTTCCTATTTAGGATGTAAACATTGTTTGAAGATAGACTGTGTGTTCAAAATAATGTATTTTGCAAATTGTTAAAGTATGTTCCTTTTAGTGAGGTAAGTCTAAACTATTGACATTTCTTCCAATAAGTTGATCAACATGAACTAATCATGTATAACTCATGGAGACAGTTTTCTAAATCCTCAGTATGTAAAAGGAAACATTAGGATCTTTATACCCTCAAGAATCTGTCACATGTATCTAGCAATAGGATAAAATTAAAGACATGCCAACAGCAGCATATTTTTAAAAACAAATCATTTCCCCAAATACACATTTACATATGTGAATGTATCAGTTTGGACCATTGCAGAATGCTAAAGGGAACTGACAGGTGAAGGGAGGCAGGGGAGGAGGCATATTCAATGCTTCATAAAAAAGCATCTGTATGTGTTCTCAAATTTCCATTAACCTTGATCACCAACAAGCGATATCAAAAGAAATATTACTTAGCTGAAAACCACAGAGAACTCTTATCTATTAGTAATAAATTAATCACATTTGCTGAATTAAATGAAGTATGATTACAGGTAAGCCTAAAATAAGAATTTTCAAGTCATGTGCTGGAAAATATTTATAGGTGAAAAATGCAAAATGGTTAGATGTCATCGTTTGACAGGAATTATTTAACACCCTGTACTCTTCTAAGTATAAGGCATATTTTTCTACCCCAAATGTATAATCTAGGTTATACATTACAGTCCTAAATCTAAATTCCTGAGAATCAAAAAAGCGAAAGCTCATATTTAACTGTTGTTGAGAAAGAAAGAGGATTAGGACTTGACTTGTGCAAAGAAAGATATATAGGATTTAAATTCATGCAAAAGAAGGTGGACAATAGTATGTCAGAAAAAATACCTGGGAATTAACACGTTTACCACATCCATTTTCCTATCCTTTCATTAGCCATGAAACATATATCTACTACCTTCGATAGCCTTCACTTCCATAAGTGGAACTCACTTATTTTACTACTAATAATGGTGAGTTATGGGGTATCACAGGTTGCTGTGAGGTTTTGATGAGATATTGATATAAAGCTCTTAAAGAACGCTTGATGTGTAGTAAGTGCTCATAAATGTTGTCATTATTACTCGTAAGCATTCATTCTTTACCCCTTATTAACAAGTAAATGTACTGCAAACGAGAGTGTACATATTTACTTACTTTATTTTAATGACCAGGGGTTTATTATTCTCACATTAGAAGTTCAGAGGTAGGTGATGACATGATGGATTCAGATGCTGAACACAGCTACCAAGAACCCAGGCTCAGAGCTTTCTGCTCCACCATCCTTGGTGTACGCTTACGCTAATAACTTTTTTATGCTAAGATAGGACAATCAGCAGGATTTTCTCACATTTGCAGTAAATCTAACATTTCTAGATTTTGTTAGTTTTTCATGTTTTTATGTAATTTTTTCATTGCCACCCTCCTTTTCTTTGAAACAACTCTTTTGTCTGTCATGACATTAGAATGTGCAGAAGAATTACCTGTGTGATCTGAGCAATGCAGATTCCTGGGTCCCCACTCACAGGGCTTCTGATTGAATCTGTTTGGAGTGGAGGCAGCAAATATGCAGTTTTGATAGTCTCTTTGGGTGATTTTGAAGCACCTGATCATCTCTGCTTCCTTCGTCATAATGTTCTTTTCTTTTGTTCTTCATTAGTTCTTTCTCTTTCCCTGGCAAATAGCTATACTTGAGCATTTCTCTCTATCCTAACTTCTATAAAGTTCACCCATTTTCATGACTGCAGCCCCTCAAGGACAAGGATAATGTTACGTATTCATTTATTCATTAACCGTGTGTTGCTCTTGACAGATGTCCTCTCAGCTTACTGAGGTTAGAAAACAAAGAAGATACCTGTTTAGGAGACATTAACAAGATGATAGTTTATCCATTTGTACAAAGAAACTTATAAAGCACTTACATGCCAGGCCTAAAAGGACCTGGCACATAATAGGTCCATAAAATAAAAATAAGTTGAAATGAAGAAACAAACAAATGAAGTGTCACCTCTCAAATGATGAATTCTAGGTTGATATCCACTGCCTTACTCCTTTATTCTGGTGACACAAGGGAACTTCTTGTGGGGTCAGTTTTGTTCTGTTTTGGTTTTTCCTTCCAGGTAGAAATATTGGAAAAAAGACAACTTACCAGTCATCAAAAACCAAATCACTGAAGGCCAATTTTTTGACTTATGTATTTTTGATGGCAAAGAAGAAAGAGGTCAGGGGAGGGAAACTGATAACACTGGGGAGTGGGTGCAGAGGTCAGAAGAAGGTAGGATCTAAAGCAGATATGGGGGTTACCTTGAAAAGAAAAAGGAACATCTTTTTATCCAATGTATAAGAAAAAGGCAAAAAAAATAATAAATTAAAAAGTGGGAAGAGTAAAAATTGAAGTTTAGAGGAAGGTGGACACATGCACGTAAATGGCATCTTAACATTCCATATATAATAATAGGTGCTTATGATCATCAGCAAGAACTGAGGAAGACTAAGGACTGGAATGGTAGATTAAAGAAACTAAAGGATGAGCAAAGGATACGAAAATGTTCTCAAAGGCCTAGGTAAATTTAGAGTATGATTCTATAGCAGTACAGGGTTTGTACGATAGTCTCTGGTGACTCAGAGTTGGGGTTTCCCATTGTGGTTACAGTTAAGAGTTCAAGGGAACCTGGTACAGAGCTTCTCAG